TATAAGCTGAGCTTGATTTGACACTCGGTATTTCCTCAAGTGATTTACAGCGATGCCAGGCACAAGTATCCCTGCATTTCAGGGCTCTGCCATATGTGCTGAGAGAGCAAATAGCCTAGAAACATGCTTTTAGGGCTGCCTCTGCTCTGCCATTGCATCTTCAAGAGAAATCATCAGTTGGAAACTTTGTGTTTCAGGATTCAGGAAATCTCTGTTGAAGTGCACTGAAGAATTCTGACAAAATACAGCCCATTGCTGTAGATTTTGTTGAATATGTCACTTCAAAGTCACCTACTTCTCACATTAAGTCAGTTTTCTGCTGCCCCATCTCTCAATTCACTTGGCTTCAGCCGGCTTCAGCCAAAAAATCTCCCAGTGCCTCAGGGGCCAATGTACAGCCCGACTCCTGATTACATCACTGCTGTACTGAGCATTTCTGTACAAAAATAAAGACATTTAAGCCACAGTTTGTCTACCCTGAACTGAGAATTAGTGTGAATAACTGGTGCCTCTCCTGCACACTACCAAGCACACAGCTGACTGCCTGTGAGGCTCTGAAGCCATCAGCTCCTTGCCTGGGGAGAATGCAGCAACAAAGCTCTCCTACCCCAAGGAGCAGGCTGTCCCTCTGCAGTGTTCCAGCACACTGCCTGTCCTGGCAGGCAGAATTTAACCAGTTCCAGGGGCTGCTTAAAAGAAAAACAGCAAACCCCACAGTTAATTCTCAGAGGGGTGACCCACGTCCTATTGCAAATATCTCCCAATTCCCCCTCACTCTCACCCAGAGAATGGTGAATGAGTATAAAAGAAAGGGTCTTTAAAACATTTTCCAGAGTCTTCCCACAAGCAAGGCTTCAGAGGCTCTCAGTATTTGAAGTATTAATGGAAGTGTTCCATACAATTCCCTGTGCACACAGCTAAAAATAGCTATGGACACAGTACTAAGGTTTTTGTCTATATTTGCAAGAGCCTTACTTCCCTCTCAGGAACCACAACTTCCCATTAATGCTGACATTTATTTTTTTCTTTTTGAAAGACCTAATAAAACACCAGAAAGTCTTTTAACACTGCAGGGAACATTAATAATAATATGAATACATCAATAACAACAATCTCAATTGATATTCTGGTGATGGACCAGGAACATATTTTCTATAACAACAATGTCAATTTTGCTCTAAGAACTGATAAAGCCACATGATGGCCTTGGCAGATCTGCTCATCACTATCCATCTGTTCTGCCCGTGACAAAAATATAATTTTTTTCCCTGACAAGCCCTATTTGTCCCATCTTTACCCACAATGACATCAAGCATGCCAAGCTGCAAGAAGTCAAAAGAATATCTAACCTTGTGTCAGACTTTTTGTTCTGGGCACATTAAAGAGAAGTGAATGGCTTCTCACATTCTCACAGTAGAGACCTGAGAGGATGGAAAAAACCAAAAAACCCCCAAACCACAAAACAAAACAGAAACCACATGACCAAAGCAATTCCTATCTTGGCCTTGGTCACCACAGTTTATAGCATAAAAGGAAATGTCACTACTGGGTGAAAAAGAGCCTGCAGATACACGCACCCAAACTCCCAAATACACCCAAGAGCTGCCATTAGGCTCCAACTGCAGAAGCTCCCAGCCCTGCAGCTGAATCCTGCAGGAAACCCCACTGCCTGCTCTCCAGGAACATTCCCAGTGGGATTTGTCTCCTCCTGCTGGTACTCAGCCCCTTGCCCAAACTACCACGGGCACTCTCCAAGGAACAAACATCCCAGGACATTTGGAGACTGGTGACCAATGTATTCCTGTCTAACACACAGACAGAAAATGGGTGGGGGGATAATGAGGGCAGGGAGAAGGGAGAAGAATCCCATTCTGATTACAAAGGAATTCCTATTCCAGTAGTTAAAAAAACGAGGACAGACGTGACAATGGAAGCAAACATACAATGGAGCTTTTGTCCCCAAACTACTTGGCTCCCATACAAGGAACAGAGGAACTTGGGTTGGTGGGGACTGGCTGGGGTAGGGGAAGAGAGAGAGGCTGATGTTTGTAAAAAGAAAGCAAAATTGGTTCGTCTGCTTTAAGAAAGGCTGGGAAGACAAAAGAAAAAAAAAATAAAAAAGCAGCCTGCTATTGTAGAATCCACCCACTCACTTCTGAAATGCTCAAAGACCCAGACAGGGATTTACAACCAGCACTTGTAGGCACTGAGTATGAAGCAGAAAACACTCAAATGCCCAGAGGCAGCTTCTGCAGTGCCAGAGAAGCAGCTTTTAGATTGCACAGGGTTATGGTCAGAGCTGTTTTCTTTCAACAAGTTTGGTACTGCTGAGTCAGTCACTGAGCTGGGCATTGCAGGCCATAGGAAGGCACCTGCACACTGCAATTTTCAGCTCCAGTCAATCAACCACTGTGTTTTACTTTTTAACAGTCCCACAGCTTCCTGGAGAAACAGAGCATTCACAAGCAGAGCAATAATCCTGCAGCTTTGAAGCCAAAATAACAACAATGATTTAAAAAAAGCTGGTGTTCAGTTGACTGCAAGACGAGGGTGAAGAAAATGCCAGTGTTGAGTGGAGTTGTTTTTTCAAACAGTGTCAAGGCACATTCAGAAAGATCACAGTAATGTAAAGCTGCAAAATTTTGGTGATGATTTAAGAACTATTTTAAAGATAATAAATTCAGTTTAAACCAAGCATATTCCATTTAATAGCCAGCTTATATTAGGGAAGAAAGAGAGTGCTGATGCAGGGGTTTTCTTAGCCTGAGTTAAAATCAGTTCAGAAAAGATTTATTTTCTCAGAGTCCACTATATCTGGCTTCTATTTATTTACACAAGTCTATATACAGCAAGGGTTTAAACTAAATGAAGGTATGGGTTTATACATATCATATGCAATTACAAATTAGGCATCTCCTTAAACCACCTCATTCTTTAAAACATTATGGAGTTATAAATTTTTTTAAAGGAATTGTACGGTTGCTTATTCCCATATATTGAGGGCATGAGACTTCTGCTGAACTTAGAAGCAAGATATGGAAACTTGTTCCAAGTGTTAAGGTGTTAATAATTTGTTTAATCCAGTACATTTAAAAACCTTTTCTGCAGCCAAGTGCTTTTTTTTTAGTTACAAGTGAGGCACTTCCTAATCCCCTGGTGCAGTCTGCACAAGAAAATAACAGCACCCAGATTTTCCTGCTGTCAGTGCCACAGGTGCAGGACTGGGATGGAGTTACAGTTTTTGTGACAGTGGCTGCAGTATTGACAGGGTAACAGCCCTGGTGCCTGCAGCAGGTCCAGGTGCCCCAGTAACATCACCCAGGTGACACCAGTGGCATCCAAAAGGATGCACCATGGAACTGCAGCATGATGTTGAAGATGACAGCCTATCCAATGATCACTTGCATGTCTCTCTGCTTTGTTTCTGTGGGGCTTTTTTATTTTTTTGGTATTTCCTGTTTAATCCTCTAAGCCAGGGAATGCAGAGGTAGGCCGGCTATTTTTGGAACACAATTGATTGAACAAATGGGACTTTTTTCCCCCAGTTTGATACTATTTTATTGCTAAACAGCACAGGAATGAACCTCCCACATGATCCCCATCTGAATCTTCCTCTACAAACAAAATCCATGCTTGACCATAGCATTTCCCAGGGAAAAAACCAAACAATCTTAGCAGGCTGCTGATGCAACTGTTGCTTACTATACTGGATTCTCTTAGTTGTTTCATGGCAAATTCAAGTTCCCTGTGGCATGAGCCATCTTTTTATTCCACATTTGAACAGTGCTTAGAACAGCAAAGCCTGTGTCTACAGATGCTAGGAATAATAGAACAATCAATCCATCCTCTCTCCCCCTGCACATCCTTCCCCCCACTCCCAGTGCTGTAACATGGAAACAGTTTTATTTTTAGCCTAAGGAAGTGAGGTTTATCCCATCATCCTGTGACAGCTGTACTTCATTTCATTTATTCTTTACCTATTTGGCAGTCTCATGATATTTCAGAGACAGATTTACAAGATATGCAACAAGAAGACTCAAACAGGCATCTTATTAGTGGAGACAGATGAGTAGCAAAGGGCTGCAGCATGAGTTTAACTACAGTACCAGACACCAGAGAACCCACACAGAGAAGCAGCATGAGGGAACAATCAAAATTTCACTATTCAATTTCTCTAGTTTTCCTTCTCCTTTGTAAAAGAACCTAAAGGAAACTACACAAAGCCCTGTTTCTGTCCTTGAACCCCTCTAATTCAACAATGATAACACAGCAGTTGAGGTACCAGGTTTTCTGGATCAGTACCTTGCTCCACAGAACAGGGAAGTAAAAGAGAAGAAAAAAGATCTTCTACATCTTGTACATATGAAGAAAAAAGGAGTGGATTATGAACAGCTGTCAGAAACATATCCCATACCAGAAGTGCAGCTATTTTGGCACAAGAGCATGAAGACCTAACAACAAGAAAGCAGGGAAGAGAGCACATTTTTATGCTCACTGTCATCTTTCAGTTGCTTATCCAAGTTTCACTTGCAGACGTCAGGATGAAAAGAAACAGTCAGGGAGCAGCAGCCTGAATGGGTGTTGCATTCACTTCAAAAGAGCTGCATGCAGGAAGAGTTTGCCAGTATCAATACAGTGCAAGCTGGCAGGACTGGAAAGTTACAAATTAAGTGTGCCTTCATCAGTGACCTACTATGAACAGACCTACTGAGCTGCTAAAATATTTTTAGTTCGACCAATTCCTGCCTTTTTTGGTTCCTCTTGCTCTTCCAGTTTATCCAGTCATGTGCACTTTTCCACTCCCTCTTACTGCCATGCAGTTTTTCAAGTTTGGCTCCAATTACCACTTGTTTCTGCTGCTGAAGCGCTCAGATTTACAGCACTCCTACAAACAGCTAACAGGGTGGCTCCATCTTGCACGTAGCAAGCTGTGTTTGAGCTGAAGAGAGATTTATAGTGCAGCACTTTTCTCCTCCCACCGAGGAGCTGGATGTACTCACCAGCTGGTACTCGCTGCGGCGGCTGAAGGCTTCCTTGATTCCCGAATCCCTCCAGAGCGCGCCCAGGGCGGGGACGTAGAGCTGGAAGGTGGCAGGCTCGATGGGCATCCCAGCTTTGTTCTCAAAGGCCATCAGGAACATCCCATGCTTCTCATTCTCTGTGTACTGCCAAGGGATCCCCAGCTTGTCCCGTGCATCAACCAGAACCCTGCAGCCCTAAAGAATGATTGAGAGAAGAAAGTCAGTGAGTAACAACTAAAGTATAAAAGAAGGACTTGACATGGACTTGTAGATTATTTTTTTGACACTGTTCTGGTGAGACTGAACTCAGGAGAGAAGCAAAAACATTGTTTATTGCAACATCTCCAACAGAAGTAAGATAGAGCCTGCTTCTGTAAGCAATTTAGCCACAAAATATTTCCCCAGGTGGAAAAAGTATTAGCGGCAACAGCTAATGGCAACAAGCACTGCTACCAACAGATAATGAAAGTAAACATCAGTGAGAGTATGAGAAGTGTCTGGGAATTAAGAAAAGTGTCTGGGAACTAATGAGTGATCATCATAGCTGTAGTTTTAAAAGTAACACCACGCCTGAAACCATATTCTTCCATCTTTTTCTTTGCATTTGGGTTTCTGACACCAAAAAGGACAGACCAGCCTTCTCAAGCATTAGGGAGATCAGAAGAGCATCACAGGACTGAAGACATTGCACAGATTCCAAGCTACCAGGCTCAGGAAAGCAGATCCAGTTTTCCCTGAGAATCAGCTTACTTTTTGAACTTGCCACACTTGCTAAGCAATGTGTGAGAGGAAAAGGAATCTAGAAGCAAAGAGATCTAGTTCTCAAACTCAATTCAGGATTACTGAGCTGGTTATTTTCACATTTTGCAGTTTTTAAGGAAACCTAATTTCATATTCATGGCAATAAGCCAAACACATAAGGTTGAAGAAATTTGAAACTTCAGTGTTGACTCTAACTTCACCTGCAGTAAATAGCTTCCAATGGCCAATATTTATTTCTCAATAGTGAGCCCCATTTTAATGTAATGGACAGATCTGCTAATGGTGACTCAGCATCTCAAGTACCACTGAATTCACAAGTAAAATGTCTGGGTTATACTGGATCACTTTTCTCATTATGTTGATCTTTGGCTCTAGAGATGCAAAAATAAATAAAACAAAAAAATGTCCAAAAGTGAAGTTCTGTTTCCACAGCTACTCACAAGAGCCTCCACATTACTGAACTGATCCCTTTTTTTGCACACTTTAAGCTATCAAGACTGCATATATGTTTTATTAACACTTGAACTTTTCTACCCTCCAGTCCTTCAGCAGCACCACACAACAACAGTAACTTCCCAACAGCAACCAAGATTAGAGAGGGAAGTGAGAAGCAATTTAGTGGAATGTCACAGAACAGCAACTCAAAGTGAAGTGTTGTGGTTGTCATTATCCAGCAGTGCTCCTGAAGAGCAGCTTCCCAAAACTGTAAATATTTATGATTCTTTACTGATAGTTACTTCTTCGCATAGAGTAGATAATATATCCCCACAATACCATGAAAATACTAAAATCAAATATATTTGCCAACTGATGCTTTAAATTCCATACAACTATTTAGTAACTGTTATACAGACTAAAAGCCAACTCTCATTCCCAGTTGCAGAGTTTATCCTTTTACTAACAGAAGCCTTTCAATGGTTATTTGAATGGCACCAGCCAACAGAAGCATGAAAAACCCACTTATAAGGCTCGGTCTCTGAACTGCAGATGTCTCCATGACATCTCACAGCTTCACACACTTTTGCAAACCATCCCTTGCACACACACCCACCTTGGCTGCAACTGGAAGGCAGGGTCAGCTCCCCACTATGCCCAGTTAAGAACTTGGGAGATTTTTCCAGAGGATTGTGGTGACTGGGACAAGCAGGACACGGTTATTTCTATGTGTCTCATGCCAGATTTGTCTCTGTTGTGAGAACTGTTGTGTATGAAATGGTTAACCAGCACTGTGTGTGGGACAGTGATCACCATCTCCCCAAGGGCCACCATCTCCCCAGCCACTTCCATCCCCCGTGGGTCACCACGTCCCCTCGCTGTCCTGGGCCCTGCACAGAGCTCCCAGCCCACGCAGCTCTGACCTTTCTCCTGCCTGGGCCCTGCAGGATCTCCCCTGGCTCCAGCTCCAGCTCTGGGGCTGGTTTAACCCTTCTCCACCTCACAGCCACTGCACAGCATCTCAAAGGAATGGCTGCAGGTGTGCACAATTCCTGCTTGGATAGAAGAGGGGACAAGGACCTCAGTCCCAGTGCATTTCCCCACACTGTTGCTCTGACTTTCCCTGCACACACTGGAGACACAGAGGTTCTCAAGAGGCTGTTTGTTGTTAGGGAAAGTTTCATTATTTGTGTGGAGAAAACCACAGAACAGTTTCAATCAAGGGCACACAGACTGCTCCAGTCCTGGAATAGTCACTTATCTGCTGGCTGCTGCTTGTTGGAAATGCAGGTTTGACCCTCCCTGAGAAAAAAAAAGGAACTAAAGTTAAGTCCCCCAGAGCCTGTGGGAGTGGATTAACCACTGTAAGGTCACCCACGGGCAGCACGTGGCATCAGCATTGCTCTGACTGTTCCAGACACAGATGCTGCCACCAAGTCACACGTAGAGCCTGATCTGGGACAAAGTGGCTCAGTAGTGGGACACCAGCATCAGCAGCGACAAACAGACACACACTGCATGACAAACATAAAAACACAGCACAGAGACTAGCAGGAATGCTGTCCTATGCACACCCACAGCACCTCTCAAAATTTTTAGAACACATCTGCTTCAACATGTGTCTCTAAACCACATGAGAATGAAAGTTTTACATAATGAGCAAAACAGTCAATACTTCTTCCACCCAACTCTTAGCAGTTAAAAGTGTGACTCAGCAAAATCCCCAGTAAAGTGAATCTAAACTTAACATTTCTCCATCTCCACAAAACAGTTCCATAAATGCTACAAACAGATGTCAGAAAGATGAGGAGAAACAGAGAAAACACTAAATTTAGATCCTGTGTACTTCTTTTCTCACATCTCAGACTTACTGGTAACACTGAATTTTGCAACCTCACTGAGCATTTGATAATCCCTGCCTCATTAATCTGCAGAGCAAGTCACCATAGGAAACTTTTCCACTTACTGGAAACACAAGCAAGACACTTTTCCTACCCCTTTCCCGACAGTTTTTCTGATTTTCTGTGGCTGTAGAAAATGTCAATTCACCTTTAATTTATGAGGCTGAACACCATAAATTATGATTCTGTTTTCAAATTTGGACTACAGAAAAAAAATGAAGCAACAAGTTTAGATGGGAAATAAACTTCTGAACACTTCAACTGATTTAAAGCTTTTGTGCTGCAGTTAAAGCAGGACCCAGAATAAGCATAGATGGAAAGAATTAAAATTCACAGATAAGGATAGTGTGAGGCATTAGAAAATAGAAAACCAGCAGCATAATGAAAGCACCAGCTAGGGAGGAAAAAAATAGGAAATTCTCTGTTCCATTCCTTTCTTAATAATTTTTAATATATTTAAGTCACTGCATAAATCCCTGGCATGCACAAAACCTGAACGAAATCAGGGTAGAAGGAGAAAAAGGTATAACAAGAGTGTGATGAGACCTACCTCATAAAGCAGCATATCTTATACAGAAGAAAATGCTAAATATAGAAATCCATACATGTGAAAAGACAGCTAAGGCATAACACACAAGAAATCTAAAGAAATTACAAACCACTTGCAGAAAGAAATAGACAAAGACTATTTTTCTCCTTCCCCCTGCTAGACAAATATGAATTATCAAACAGTTCAAACTCAAAATCCACACACCCCCAGCCAGCCAAATGCATTCACACAGGATGTTGGCCAAAAGCATAAATGGACTCCAAAAGCCATGGAGAAGAATAGATGGAAGCAAAGTCCAGAGAGGACTATACGATTACATTCCAGATGCAAATCCTGGCTCGAGGAGTTTCCAAAACCAAAGGCTGCCAATAACTGGAGGAGCACACCAAAGGATCACGTTGCCTCGTGCTCGTACCCGATTTTGGTCGTGGGTTGTTTTTTCATGTCACAGACAAAGGCTGAGCTCCTCAGCCTGACACAGCACAGCTGTTTGGAGCACGTTTGCTACTCACCAGCAGGAAGGTTTTATGAGCATTTACACAAATGCTCATTACTAAGACTGGCTCAAAAACAGTTTTTCTCCTTTATTTTTGAAAGCATTCTAGCTTTGAAAAAAATCCAGGTTGTCTTGTATTTTTAAATAATAATTAAATGAATTTGTGGGAATTATTAGAAAGGTTATCATGAGCTAATGCCACTTGAAGCCAGAGATGTTTGCAGTATTTAAAGAGCAGCGTGATTTAAGCACATCTTACATCTGTAGTAACACTGCTACATAAAACACAACACTCTTTTAAAATTATTCATATGCTCCAGTACTTGAAGGATTCATTATCCCTAAAACCTCACACCTTTCACCAGATGGACCAACTCAGAGGCCAAGTGAACACTCCTCAATTAAGCACCAAACATAAAATTGGCACAACAGGTTTGGGGAGCACTTGCTCATAGGCAAGGCCAGGCTCTTCCATGCACACACCAGCAGTTAAGTGATCAAAAAACATGATTCAGTGTCTAGAGAGAACCTGCAAACCTGCTCAGAGTTCGTATACAAACAGAAGAGTCTCCTACAGTGCATTTTCTCGATTTTAGAGAACTTACTACTGAGTAAGAGAGCACAGACGACAGAGCAACTGTTACACATGAAATACTACAGCAGCTACTTTTTACACTTTTACCATTAATACACTATTCAACCTCCAGCAATGCACGAAATCTCTGTTATCTACATATCAGTTATGGACCTTACTGTCCTGAGAGAAGTGCTCAACCTCCAGCAATGCACGAAATCTGTTATCTACATATCAGTTATGGACCTTACTGTCCTGAGAGAAGTGCTGAGCCCTCCCTGGGGACTCCAGGCCACAGCTAACAGGCACTGCTGTCTTCTCCTAGGGCTGCAAACCAGCAGGAACACTGCAGGCACAGGGAGATCCCAGCGTGTTTCCTACTGCGTGTTTTTCCTCACTGCTGTTGACAAGGAACTGGCAGAAGTCTGGGGATCTCATCTCACAGAGACCAATCTATATCAGAGCTACTGCCAACAG